TTGATCATCATAGAAGATGGGACGAATAGTACAGGATTAACATAAACAATATGGCTTGATGATCATTTTAACAATTTCAACGAGCACGACGCAGCAGGACTCGTACGCGGCGCCCACCAGCGCGGCGACCTACTTATCATCGACGATAGAATCGCCACACACCCGCGGTTCACGCGCACGTGATGACGAAATACCAACATCCATGCAAACGAAATACGGAAGGATCAAAACAGGGGGAAAAAACTTATGCACAACCTAATAGATAGCAAAACTGCAACCTGCATTTCACAAGCAACTTATGAGCAGGTAAAGTTTGTAATGGTGCAGTAGGGTGGAGGCTTGGTGGTGAGCTGTGAAGCGAGGAATCGCATACGTCGAATCGAGTCGTCGAACGTCGAACCTTACCACTGAACCACCACGACTCGATTCGACGTATGCGATTCCTCGCTTATGCTTCACAGCTCACCACCAAGCCTCCACCCTACTGCACCATTACAAACTTTACCTGCTCATAAGTTGCTTGTGAAATGCAGGTTGCAGTTTTGCTATCTATATTTGTAAATAACCTTATAGACTCTATCGATCTACCCAGGTCTCCATTCAGTTTCATGGTAACTTGGCGGCTTCCCTGGTAAGGCTTGACGTTTTGACCGAATCGTCGTCTTCAGAGGCCTGAACATGTTCCAAGTGGTAGATTTACAACCTAGCCACTTTAGCTTCTCGTCAGCTCTAGCAGCACTTGGTGGGGCAGGCCGTGTACTTACCACTTGAAACATATTCAGGCATCTGAAGACGACGGCCCAGTCGAACATTGGGCCTTATTAAATGAATGTTCCACCTTACAACCTCGCGAGGCACAGGTGAATACACTTACAATTACCGCCGAGGATGTAAGAAGAGACCAGCTGAAAACTCCTCAAAGGCATAATGCGCGATATTCGGATGGGCGAACACATAGTTCCACAGTGCCGTTCTTTTTAGTTCGCCCCTTGTATAAAGATGGCAAAGAAAAGGGGCACTTCAATGAGACAGGTCACTGTCGTCGACCATACGATAAGCATGGGATGCGTCTAAAATTGAATGAGTAAATTACGCCGCCCTGCCCACCCTGTCCGCTGTTCAGCACTTGAACGCCACGTCCAGACAAAATTCAATTCGACGAGCAAAACGGACATGGAAAAAAATCAACAAAGTTTACGGGAACACGATGAATCGGCAGAATCAGACGCGGAATACAACGAATTCCCGTGAATTGTTGTATTCCCTCAGCATCGCCACGATATTCTCCATAACGCGCGATGGACAACGCGTTTATTGCCCGCGCTTTGTCAGGAACGCGCAGATGCACCCATATACCGTCTAATCGGATTTGTTAGTTCGTACTGTTCGTACTTGGTTTGCGCGTTTCAGCGATTCCTCTGAAATCATGTAGTGAATATATGTATTCTCTCGATAAACCGTTGGAGATGGACAAAGGGTATTGGGGAGGTGAAAACTGCAGAGCCCTTCAAAGTGCCAGATTGTGTGGGTTGCGATACCTCGCACATCATGAAATCAACAAAGCCACACAAAATATCCTGAAAGTATGCACTTGAGCTCGTTGTCCTTCCTTGAACAAATAGCTACCCTTGCTGGCTTTCCTGTAGCTCCCGGGGAGCAGCACTGTTGGAGACTCTGAGACTATCCAGCGAAGAATGTCGTACTGGACTGCAAGCGGGTCGTAAGCACAGAATCGCAACGAACAGCACTGCCACGTTTTGCAGACGGAACTCGTGTCGTGGAGAGCACGGGTATGAAAAATAGCTTAAAATATTAAGATAATTAACTAACAAAACCAATTACTAAACGTGAAGTACGAATGTGGCTAAATAAGTGGTCTTTTCCACGAGATGCGAGATGAATGGGTTCGGAGGTGAGGAGGTGCGCGCCAGTTTCTCCGTTCAAAAATCCCTGATAATGGGGCTGGAGCGTAGATACCCGGGTACCATCACCCGACACCGCCCCTGCGTCATCCTTAATGTGCAGCACTTGCGTCGATACTTAAGTCCTACAGCGAACAAGCCATAAGAGGTAGAGAACAATTAGAAGTAAGCGGGTGTAGACAAGCAGCGGGTTTGGCTACCGTTAGACGAGTGGCTGGTACGGGCGGTCGGAGAAACGGCACTTGGGTATCATGACCCTCTAGTCCCGTTCTCGTTCCCTTTGAACGGAGAAAATGGTACGGTGCTGCAGATGCAAATCCATGACCCCACATATGGCGAGGCCTGGATCCACGAAGTTGAGTGCACAGCTTATC